GAGCTCTTTCACTAGGAGCAAGACTGAAAGAGCTCTTCCAAAGGAACCTACTATTCTGATCCTAATTATGAGGTGTATACCACTGAAGTTGAAGGGGAGTTTAAGGTGAATGTGGCTGAGCTCAATATAAAGAAGGCCTATACTAGTGAGGCTTTAGCTAAACCAAAATCAGCCATGACCAACTTGCAAACCACCTCTAGTTCTAAGTGGAAGGGAGCAGACACTTCCAAGAGTTACTCCTGTGACATCTCTAAAGCCGAGCAAATCTTTGATTTACTCATAGCTGACAAGCAACTGATTTTCATTACAGGACCCAAGATGCCAACAACCTTTGAATTGGCCGAGAAAGACTATTACAAGTTTCACAATTCGTGGAGGCATTCCACTAACAATTGTGTTATTTTTCACAATATTATGCAGAAGGCAATTGAAGATGGCAGGTTGAAGTTTCCTGAAAAAATAGAAGTCATATGTGTTGATGGAAATCCTTTCCCTAAGGTCGTTGCCACAAATGCTACTTCCCTTACTTTGGAACACCCTAAGAAGAAGGTGGCCTTGACAGGTCCAACGGCCAGTGGAAAACTAGAGATTCCTAAGGCAGCAACATCCATGGAGAGAACAATGGCTTAGTTGGAAAGGCAACTCCGAGAGGCTCAGATTGCTTTAATCCAGCAAGGTTGTTACCCCAAGTGTAAAATTTAGAAATAAGGCTGTCATAGAGATGTTCCAAAGGAGAAGTAGAAGGAGATGTTGTCCAATAATGACCGAGGCCAGAAAAAGAAGGTCCATGACCCACTAACTTTCCAAAAGGTGGAAAACTCAGTTACTGTGACCATTTTAGAGATGGAAAGCTGAGTCTATACAGAAAGAAGGGCAACAAAAAGAAGACCAGAATTCATTCCAAGGAGTTTGGAAAGGAGTACAATTTCCTATCAGGCAAGGCCTCGTCCTAGCAGAAAGTATGAAAGTAGCAGTTGGCAAGGCAGAGGCTCTGGAGGTGATAGGCATTCCAGGCCAAAAATGGCCTCGAAGGTATGGATTAAAAAGGGGAATAAGCATCTCTATCCAAGAATAGTTAAGCCTACTACCTCGTAAAATGAAAGGTGGAAGAGGCTTGATCATCCCAAGTTCCCTATTCATGATGATTCCTATATGACCCGCACACAAAAGCGAATGCAGCAAAGGAAAAGGGCTGATGGAAGGAAATTATAGGAGAAAGACCATGGTTGGTCCAACTGGCCAACGAAAATGGCTAAACCATCAGACTTATCAGAACTTCCAGCTAAAGGAGGAGTTAGAGATCCTGATGATTTATTGGACTTGGTTTCAGAAGTTGGAAATTCCTTGACTGCAGACGACCCTCCTACAGTAGATAACACAGACTTGGAAATCTCCAACAGTTCTAATAGCAGCAAGAAAATCTATTTTGGGAGCCTTCTAGGTGAATTTACTTACAATATGGTAGTGGTTCTTCCCTTATTTTTTGAGCCACAGCCAAATCAGCCAAATTTAATGGAAGGAGATGTAGTAGATACAAGTCTTCCCTTGGAAAGCCCCGGATAGTCTAGCTCCAGGCCATTTATAATGGAATCGAGTAAGGATATCCATATAGAAGAGGTTTTCGAAGAGGAAACTGAGCATCTTCAAAAATTAAAAGGAGTTGTGATTAAACAAAATAGCCCCACTAACCAAAGAAAATTGTGTTGGAAAAGCCACCATATGGCATGACTCAACAGCTCAAACCTTTATATATAAAGGTACTGGTGGAAGGGAGGTCCTTGGCAAGAGTTCTGGTAGATAAAGGTTCAGTACTGAACGTTGTTCCAGCCAATGTCATGCACATGCTTGGAAAATCGCCTGAAGATATCATTCCAACCGATGTATCCATTTATAGATTCATGGGAAAAATAGTGAAAACACAAGGCATTCTACTATTGGAATTAACAGTGGGAGATAGAATTTTCATCACAGCCTTCTTTGTAATTAAGTCTACAGTGGCCTATAACTTGCTTTTAGGCTGCGAATGGATTCACGCAAACTTTTGCATTCTATTTTCACTCCATTAAATGCTGATATTTTGGGATGGAGATGAGGTAAAAGTGGTGGAGGCTGATAACCGGCCATTTGTGGCAAGGGTCTACCATGTAGATGCTGAGTTGTACAGTGAAGAATTCATTCCAATCAGATTTATTGGAAATGATAGCAAGGGCCATCCAAGGAAGGCCACCATGAGGAGAACTCTCACAAAAGAGGATGTAAGGGGGCTTTTCCAAGAAACATCAAGGCCAACAATTCTACCCAAGGCTAGTATTCAGCATTACATTTCAAACAAAAGTTTTTATGGAAGAGAAACCTAAAGAAAATAGAATTCTTGGCCAGGCGGTTAATTGTTGCCTTGCCAGGTTGAAAACATATCTAGCTAAACTATGGCTGGAAAGGACTGCAGCTACTAATACCTCATTTTCTACCAATGTTTTAGAGATTATAGAAGATACAGAAGATAAATTGGATGTTATCCAACTAACAGACTTGAAGGCAGTGCCAATGAAGTTAGATGATCTCAAGGCCGAGGTGCAAGATCCACTTTTGGAAGTTAATCTTGGAACAGAGTATGACCCTCGACCTACCTACATTAGTAAGCTTCTGGAACCAACCTTTAGAGAATAATTGATTTCCTTACTTCATGAGTATAAAGATTGCTTTGCATGGACATATGAGGAAATGCTAGGACTTTCCAGAGAGCTGGTTGAGCATAAACTGTGAATCAAGGAAGGTTTCAAGCCTTTTAAGCAACATCCAAGAAGGATGTCCCAAGAAGTTGTTCTAAAAGTCAAAGAAGAGATTGAAAGGCTACACAAGGCTGGTTTTATAAGAACCGCCAGGTGTGTTGACTAGATTTCCAATATAGTTCCAGTTATTAAGAAGAATAGCACACTAAGGATATGTGTGGATTTTCGGAATATTAATCTTGCAACTCTAAAAGATGAATATCATATGCCTATTGCTGACTAGTTGGTAGATTCTACTGCTAAGAATGAAATTCTTTCATTCATGGATGGATATTTCGGGTACAACCAAATTTATATTGCAGAAGAAGACATTGCCAAGACGGCTTTTAGATGTCCATGATCCATTAGAACCTTTGAATGGGTTATCATGCCATTTGGTTTGAAGAATGCTGGAGCAACATATCAGAGGGCCATGAATGCCCTTTTCATGACATGATCGACCATTTCTTGGAAGTGTACATTGGTGAAGTAGTCATCAAATCTTCGCCCAAGGCTCAACATCTCCATAACCTGAAGATGGCTTTTGAAAGGATGAGGCAGCACAAGTTGAAGATGAACCCCTTAAAGTGTGCTTTCGGGGTCTTAGGTAAAAACTTCTTGGGTTTCCTGGTCCACCAAAGAGGTATTAAGATAGACTAAAATAAAGCAAAGGCAATTATTGAAGCAAAGCCACTGGCCACAAAGAAGGAACTACAAAGGTTAGATATTTGAGGAGATTCATTGCTAACCATGCTGGAAAGACTCATGCTTTCTCCTTGTTGCTGAAGTTGAAAGATGCTGAGGAATTCAAATGGATAGAACAGCACTAGCAAGCCTTTGAAGGTTTGAAAAGTTACCTGGCCAACCATCCAGTGATGATGTCTCCGATTAAGAAACAGCCTTTAAGATTATATTTATCGGCCGCCGATGAATCCATTGGGACTCTTCTAGCTCAGAATAATGAATGGGGAAAGGAACAAGCTATCTATTATTTAAGTAGGGTGCTCACTCCAGTGGAATGTAGGTACACTTTCATTGAAAAATTATGCCTTTCCTTATATTATGCGGCTATGAAGTTAAGAACTTGCATGTTTCCAGTAGCCGTGTATATCATTTCTCAAATAGATTTGATTAAGTATATGTTTTCGAGGCCTTTAATCACTTGACGCATTAAAAAGTGGTCATTGGCCTTAATGGAGTTTTCTTTCAAGTATACTCAACAAAAGGCAGTCAAAGGAAGGGCGGTGGCAGAATTTTTAGTAGACCATCCTTCCACCAAGATTGATTCAGAAGTATGTGATGAGGTGGATACCTTGACTATACACCTTGGACTCTTATGTTTCATGGATCGAGCACCTAGGATGGAGGAGGAGCCGGAATTGTCATCATTTCACCAAAAAGAAGAAAAACGACATTTTTTTTTTTTTTTTGGATTTCAAGTGTATAAACAATCAAGCTGAGTATAAGGCACTAATTATTGGGTTAGAAATCCTGCTATAGCTAAAGGTGGATAAGGTCCAGATTATTGGAGATTCCAACCTGATACTTAGCCAACTTTCTGGAGAGTATAGATGTCTCAATTGGCATTTGAGGCCTTTCTATTCTTTGGCCTTGGAATTACTTTGCTAGTTTGATGATTTCTAACTCAAATATTGGCTAAGACATTTGAACACAGAGGCTGATGATCTGGCACAACTGGCCTCTCGAGTGAAAGTCCCACTGGGTGTAGAAGAGACCATGATCACAATCAAAAGAAAGACTCTTCCTTCGGTAGAGTTACGACACGAGATGACAGGTTATTTCCAGTCTGACGAGCTAGAAAGAATCAAACCTGCCAAGACGACATGGGAGATTTTCAATGTTGATATAGATGGATTTGACTTGGATAATTGGAGAACACCAATTATTCATTTCTTGGATCTGAGTGCAAATGTGGATAAGAGAGTTTAGCTTTTGGCACCTTACTATAATTTGATTGACGGAGATCTCTACAAAAAGAGTAAAGAAGATGGACTTTTGTTAAGGTGTCTTACTAAAAATGAGTCCATGAGAGTGATGGCAGAATCACGCCTTGGAATATGCGGAGCACATCAAGTTGGAATCAAGATGAGGTGGCTTCTTAGAAGGTGCGGTTATTATTAGAACGACATTTTGAAAGATTGCATAGAGTTTGAAAAAACTTGTACTGCATGTCAATAACATGGCCCTGTTCAAAGAGTTCCAGCTATAAACATGCAGCCAATAGTGAAAATATGGCCATTCAGAGGATGGGCTTTGGATTTCATTGGAAAGTTAAGGCTACCATTTGCAAATGGTCGTACTTATATGGTAGTTGCAACGGATTATTTTACAAAGTGGGTGGAGGCCATTCCATTAAAGACCTGTGAGCAGTCAACAGTGATTAATTTTATCAAGAAGCACATTATACACAGGTTTGGATTTCCAGAGACTCCCACCACAGATAGAAGCCTTTCTTTAGTTGGAAGTGAGGTCATTGACTATTATGCTAAATATGACATTAAAGTGATCAGTTCTACTCCATATTTTGCCCAAGTAAATAGACAAGCAAAAGCTTCCAACAAAGTAATTCTCAACATCCTTGAAAAGATGATTGAGAATCATCCAAATGAGTGGCATCACCTACTTTCTGAGGCGCTTTGGGCTAAAAGGAATTCAAAAAGATTAAGTACAAGTGTCACACCATATATGCTTACATATGGACATGATGCCGTTCTTCCAATGGAAATGACCATTAGGTCTATAAGGGTGGCTTTCCAAAATAACCTAACTCCAGCAGATTACAATCATGCCATATTGGCAGAACTAGAAGACCTTGATGAAGTCCGTCTCAATGCCCTATACCATATTATTGCTCAAAAGAAGAAAGTCATGCAGGCATACAACAAGAAGGTTAAGGCAAAGACGTTTGTTGAAGGAGACTTGGTATGGCAAGTCAAATTTTCACCTGGAGTTAAAAGTTTGGAATATGGAAAATGGACACCTAATTGGGAGGGTCCTTACTTGGTGAAACGAGTACTTATAAAATGGGCTTATAGATTGATGGACATAGATGGAGGATCCTACAAGCATCCTGTTAATGGGGTATACTTGAAAGAGTGTCACACTTTCATCTATGAAAACTGGAAATCCACAATCATTCAATCGGCCATATAGAATGGTTGGTATCTTCCTTTCCAAGTAAACTAGAAAGCTAGAAAGGAAGCGTAGTGGCCATACTTCAGCCATTCTAAGAAGGAAAAGCTAAGTACTTGGAAAAGAACATTGGCAAAAGTTATGAAGCAGACTTAGCTAAATTTCTAAGATCAGCTAATTTCCCAAGTATGGAGCATTTCATTGAGAAACGGTTACATTACATGGTCTAAGTTTTATTCGTACTAGGAATTACTCATTTCACTTATATATACATGCATTTCCATGTTAGTAATTCTGATAAGTGCCAAATATTGCATATTCAAGCACCCTTACTTGCATTAGTTAAGTCCATAAGTTGATCATGTTGTATATATTAGCTTCATTTGCATGTTTTTGTTTACTTTCAGGTTGGTTCCTAAAAATAGTTAATATTGAGGCTTTGATGAATTCTTGAAGATCAAAGCATGTCATTGCCGAGGACCTTCATTTTGGCCAAGCCAGTGATCCATTGAACTCATGGTTTTCTTTGCAAAAAAAAAAAAAAAAAAAAAAAAAAGGTGCTAAGGAGGATGATTGCATCATTGGGCCGAGCCAAAATCATTTCAAGAAGCAAAGTTACCCCCAAGAGCTTTGCAGGCGCCCGCCCTATACTGCAGGCGCCCGTTGATTGGTCTAGAAAGTTTGTGATTTTGTAGGGCCCCGCCACGCACTGCGGGCCCTAGCCATGTGCTGCCATTTACCTCAGCTGAGCCTTAAGTTGCCCTTGCCAGCATATGGATGCTCATCAGGACATCCCGCGGGCACCTGCTAATCTACAGACAAGAGGTCGTGGGCTGCATTGTTTCACCCAATGTTATCCCCTTGATTCAAAGGATTGCTCTGCACTTCTCTAGAGATTTTGGCCCACGAATTTAGAGTGGTTGGAAGGTTATGGTTGCTTATTAGAGGCTTGATGCATTATATTAGGGACATCACACATTGTAAGAATATTTCTAGAGAGAGAAATATTGTTCTTGAGAGCTTAGGTTGTGTGTGGCCTCTAGGTGCCAAAATGGAGAGGCTGAGCATCTCACCTCCTTCCTCCCTTGCTTCTATGGGTACCTAACTCCTTTCCTAGGGAGGTGATGAAGCCCTTCCTTGTAAGCATGCCTTAGTTTTGTTTAATTTGGGGAATGAAGTATATATGTGGTAGTTTCATAACTAAAGCTCTACACATGTTGTAATGGATTTTAATGTCTATAAATGATCATTTTGAGTTTGTTATCTTGTCTTAGATTTTATCCTCTCATGATTATATAGCTTGCATCTTCATAGTGAGAATGGAAATGAGATTGTGAAATGGGTTTCATGGCATGTTGTATGAGAAGCTTGATAGTCCATGGCTTAGGGCCTTCCTTTAATGGTCTATTCTTGATTTTTGACTTCATGTGCTACTACCATATTTATTGGGGGGTTTGATAGTCTCTAGCTTGGTGAACATGTCAAGAGCTACATCTTAGTTTAGGTAGTTCAAGCATGTAACACTTTGATAGACTATGCTCACTTCTTGATTTTATGAATTTCTTGAAGATAATGTAGCAACCATGTATTGCTACATATCATAGCCACTTATATATGTTGTTTCACCATGTTAATCATAATCTAGTATGTTTATATGGTAGGTAGTGGATTCACTTCCCTAGCCCACTTTACATAAATTTTTCTCCCTTAAATTGCTTGCATTTATTGTTTTATGCAATTTTCAATTCTAGTTTCTAAGTGACAAACAAAACAAAACCTTACACCTCTATCATTAAACAAAGTAATTTTAAAAACCTTAGTTGCCATAAAGTTGTAGTCCTTGTGGTTTGACTTACCCCTATGATAGCCCTATTTTACAATGATTTGTGCTATTGCAAGGGTTGATTATAATTGGTAGCATATACCGACGCCCACCAATTTTTGACGCCATCGTTGAGGACTACAAATGGTTTTGTAACCGAGGTTCAAAGATTAACTTTGGTTTGATTGTGAATATTTTGTTTTGTGAATATTTTCTTCTTTGGTTTTGGTGACATTGTGTTTTAAGAATTCTTGTGAGATTCTAGGGACTCAAGGCTTGCCGAGGGAAAACTGAAAAAAAATTCGTAAGTCTAGAGGACTCCCGGTAAGATTTTCAAAGTTCTAGTTTAAAATTTGTGAATATCTTGTATGTGTTTAAATTAGTGATTTTTGATTATGAAGCCCTTGTCGAAGCTATTCCTGTTTTACTATTTTACAAAGCATTGGTCTTTGTCGTGGCCATTTATTTTCTTTTTTGTTGATAATGGAGGAGATAGGGAACATTGTATGTGGATGTTATGCTGAAGAAGTGTTGTGCTTGTTGTGAATTGTGTTGTTGATGTTGGGACGTAGGTCATTATCTTTGCCAACTCTTGAAGCCCCAATTGATATAAATTCACTAGAAAGGACTCTTAGAAGAAACCTTAGGGAATCTGAAAATATAAGAGGAATTGAACCTGAATTTAATACAATGGCCGGAAATGAAGAAAATATCAGGAATGAGGGAATCAATAATGATAGGGCTGAAATTCTAAATGTAGTACCTATGACTCTTAGGGACCATTTCATCTTTACAACATATGCCTCTCCTTCTTGCATAGTGATGCCAAACATCGATGTAGCCCAATATGAGAACAAATCTAGCACAATTCAAATGTTTCCATCCTTTTATGGCTTTGAAAATGAAGACCCTTATAAGCATCTTAATCAGTTCCTTGAAATCTGTTCTACCGTCAAGCTGAGGGGCTTCCTTGAAAATGCACTCTATTTGCGTCTCTTCCCGTTCGCCTTAAAAGATAGGGCAAAATATTGGTTGAACTCCCTTGTTGCAAATTTCATCACTACATGGGCTCAATTGCAACAAGAATTCTTAAAAAAATACTATCCTGTGAGTAAAACCAACCAAATGAGGCGTTCCATTCTTAGCTTTTCGCAAATCGATGGGGAATAACTCCATGAGACTTGGGAAAGACTACAAGACCTCTTTAGGAAATATCTCCACCACCTAATTCCAAAATGGCAATTGGTGCAAGCTTTTTATGATGGTTTAACCGAACCATATAAACTCATGGTTGACTCATCATGTTGAAGGATGTTCATGTCTAAAAATGTGGATGAGGCTTGGACCTTACTCGAGAATTTGAGTGAAAACTCAATGCAACATATGTGACGACCCTGGATTTTTCAACCTAGTGTGTCCTGTGATGACCCAAAACGGATGCAAGAATGCAGAAGCAAGAAACAAGACAACGGTCTCCCAAGGCACAACACACCTCTAAGACACTTTGATGACCTTCCATGAGGTCGTGGAACTCAATGAGAACTGATGCGGAATCAAGAGATCGAAAAAATAACAATTAGGCCCCCAAGGGCAAAATAGTCATTTAAAAAAATATGGATTCAGGTGCCACTAAGTACACCACTGGAAAGACAACAAAAAACTAATCAAGAAGGACTCAAGAATCGTACAATTTGGAGTCCAAACGAAGGAGGAACGACAAGATGAAGAAAAATGAGCACTTAAAGCTAAAAGAGTAAAATGGTAATTCTAACTGAATTGGGTACCCTTGTGTACACCAGTGGATGGACAATAAAAAATTAACAAAGATGGACTCAAGAATCACTGGATTCGGAGTCCGGATGGCAAAGATATTAAGTTTTGAAGTCGAAGGAAGGGAAACCCTATCCCGGTTCGAACCAAAAACTAACACCACTTTACTAAAACTTAAATATGTCAAGGTAAAAGTGAAAGTTGAAGCTGCAATTGGTACCATTGGAAAGCTTATTCCAACGCGGTCAATTTAGACTCAAGAACAGACCAATTCGGAGTTAAAACAAAAAAGATACAACAACTTAAAGTTAGAAGTGCAGTGCTGAACCAAGACACAAACACACACACGCATGAACAGTACTATGAGCGCTCAGCCAAGGGCTTGGAGTGCTCATAATTAGCCCCAAGGTTTTTGTCTAAAATTGGAGTGCTCGTACGCCCATTCGAGCGCTCGTTCTGCTGTAGGCTGCACCTAAAATGCAAACTTGAAATGCAATTTTAAGGACTTTTTGGACCTTTTTAAAAAAAACACAAAGAAGAAACCCCCCTCAAAATCATGCTTTCTAACCAACCATGTGAAAAGAAATCTTTATTTTTCATGTGAATACCCCAAAATGCCCTTAAGCCAAATTTTTCAACAAAAAGGTGAAATGAGTCCATTAGAGGCTCAAAACACAAAGGAAAGGGGTTTTTCATAAAAACGATCATGCATGCAGGCGTAAATGGTGATTTTGAGCATGCGGGAATGGTCCGCAGCTCCTAGGAATGGTCAATACAAAATCCGACCCCCCGACGGCCAAAAAGGCGAAAATGAACTTAAAATGGAAATTTTGGAAACCAAAAATAACAAATGATTGGAAATTACCGTTTGGCCCTTGGCCACACTTCATACATGATTAATGAGACCCTATGAAAGAATGAAAATGGAGTTCCCACACCCGATGCAAACATAGTGAGACAATAACTTAACATTTTTCAATATTTTTCATAACATTTCATGAAGTCAAAACTACATAGGATACAAATACATGTCATTGGCCTCCGGCCTCATCTCATACATGTCAAATACATTGTAAGGAGTGCACTCATGTACACATTACGTAAATGGAATCAAATATACACATTTTGACATATAAGGCTACAAAATGACTTTTCCATGCTAACATTTTCATGAAAATGATACTTTAAGTCTATGAAACCTTCATAGCATAGTGTGCATCGCAAATCAAGGTCCTTGTACCTGAAAAATGTCCCCACTACGTGGGTGAGTAACATAAAGCTACTCGTAGGAGATTAGCATGCATCGACCTAGCATTTTACAATTTTATCACCTTAAGGTGAAACATGTTAAAGGGGCTCATGCCACATAACGTCTATGTCAAAATAAGACTCAGGGATCATTTTAAGCTACTCATGCAATTGAAATGAT